AATCTGAAAATGCAAAAGACGGTTATGTACAAGATGATGTTAAGTCCAGATTGTCTGTTTCTCTCAATTTAGGAATCTAATATTAAACGCTTTGTGTTTCGAGCTGAGTATACAACTCATAACTAATAAATGTTTTTGTTTATTCTGAATTTAGTCTCTTTTCAATTATGGTTAGGAAAAGAAATGTTTTATTTGCGGATGAACAGAGTGAAGGAGAAAATAATTTAATTTCTTTTCGTTAGCATAAGCGAACTATTTAATGTGTAGAGTGTTCGATATGTTTTCTTGTAAGCGTATGAATTAGATATGCGCTTTATTATGTGAGTAAAATGTCTTGGGTATTTAAACAGCTGTTTGCGTATTCTATTCATTCGAGTTCATACTCAGCTAAGAAGTACAATGTCTGAAGAGAATCAACACGAACAAATCGTATTTTTCTTAACGGTTATTTTGATATTATACTTTTTATCGATGTAGAATGTTAAGTTTTCACGAAGATGATAAGCGCTGTCCTTGATTTACGACTCATATTTTCAGAGGATGATAATAATTTCAGAATTGTACATTATAAGTAAAATTAAAGAATATATTTAGAATTGTACGTTAAATCTTAAATATAAAATAAGATTTCAACATTGGAGTCTGCTGAGGAAGTCTGTTTACAAAACTTTAAATTGTACATTATATAAAGGGGGAAAAAACAGTGAAATATTTTGTATTAAGCTGAGTATACAGCTCATAACTAATAAATGTTTTGTTTATTCTGAATTTAGTCTCTTTTCAATTATGGTTCAGAAAAGAAATGTTTTATTTGCGGATGAACAGAGTGAAGGAGAAAATAAATGTACTTTGTTGTGGAAAAAAATGCTTGGGTTTGTTCTTCATGATATATACATGTAAGCGATAAATTTAATTTTTCGAAGGTGATTTCACCCGATATAAACATAGGATTATTTTTTGTGTGACCTAACAAAAATCATTTTTTAACTTTTGATTTTTGATATCTTTTAAAAGAAAAAGACTTTGGGGATATAATTTGACGAAAGTTTAAACAATTTATGGACAATTATTTTTCAAGAAGAAAAACGAATATATATACTCACCGTCAATAGAAACGCAACACCCTTATTTAAGGGGTGAAAATTATGTACGGGATATAACTATGTACCAAAAAAGTTAGGACATCTTTTACTTTGCCAAATCAGTTTTTTAACGGTTGAATGATTTTCATTCCATTACCGGAAGTTGATTTTTAGCCCCCTGAGCAGAAATCAAAAATTTGCATTTTTGATAAAATTATTGACAATATTTTGGGTTTTCAAGGTTTTGTACCTGTTAATTATAAGTCTTGTACTAAAAGTCCGGAAAAAATATCCTTCTTTCTCTTCCGGATGTGATGCCTGCATTTCCTCAAAGTAACTGAAAGCAAGCATTTTCATTGCTAATGTTGGAAATTCTCAAAATAAAGAAAAGCGAGAGCTACAGATACAAATATACACTACAAAACGACTTTTCGGGCCCATGTGTTTCAAAAGCATGAATGACAGTTCCTTGACCGGAAGTCCAAGGGTTACTACACAACGCCAAGTTAGAGAAAATTCGACCTCAGTATCTGAAAAACGGGCATTTAAAGATGCACAAGAAGATTTATTTCGCTCAGGTTAAGACATTGATAAACCTACTGCATGGTAGAATTCGGGCTGTGTTTGTTGTACCTGGCGGACTGGGATGTTTTAATTGAATGGTCGGAAGGGGGGATGTTTTAAAAGTTATGTGTTACTTTCTAAGGTCTAAAGATAACATTTAAAGTTTAAATGAAGTATCATTGTTTAATAAATTTACTTTTTACTTTTATGTATGCATTCTTAATCTTATCTTTAAACCTTATAAAGTTACACATAACTCTAAAACATCCCCCCTTCTGACCATTCAATTAAAACGTCTTAGTCCGCCAGGTACAACAAACACAGCCCGAATTCTACCATGCAGTAGGTTTATCAATGTCTTAACTTGAGCGAAATAAATATTCTTGTGCATCTTTAAATGTCTGTTTTTCAGATACTGAGGTCGAATTTTCTCTAACTTGGCGAAGTGTAGTAACCCTTGGACTTCCGGTCAAGGAACTGTCATTCATGCTTTTGAAACACATGGGCCCGAAAAGTCGTTATGTAGTGTATATTTGTATCTGTAGCTCTCGCTTTTCGTTATTTTGAGAATTTCCAACATAAGCAATGAAAATGCTTGCTTTCAGTTACTTTGAGGAAATACAGGAATCACATCCGGAAGAGAAAGAAGGATATTTTTTCCGGACTTTAAGTACAAGACTTATAATTAACAGGTACAAAACCTTGAAAACCCAAAATATTGTCAATAATTTTATTAAAAATGCTAATTTTTGATTTCTGTTCAGAGGGCTAAAAATCAACTTCCGGTAATGGAATGAAAATCATTCAACTGTTAAATAATTGATTTGGCAAAGTAAAAGATGTCCTAACTTTTCTGGTACATAGTTATATTCCGTACATAATTTTCACCCCTTAAATTAGGGTGTTGCGTTTCTATTGACGGTGAGTATATTTTTAGCGATTAGAATCAAACCAAGCGACTTTAAAAAAAACTTGCATAGGGTGTCTCCTTTCATTAATGAAACGGCCACTCCCTTTGTTCATATCATTTCAGATCATGTTTAAAAATATTTTTAAATAGATCAAAAGAATTTTGTCACATTCAATTCACATTATCTCGGAAAGTTTTTAAATCTATGGCCACATGAAAATATATTCTGTAACGTGTAAAACAAATAAGCCCTATCCTTACTATTGGCTACAAGATAAAGCAGACTTCCCGGGGCACCCGGTTTGGTGGTAGCTGTTTGACCAGAAACACAGTTCTCTCCCTTCTCCGATGCTGTGACATTTTCCCCATCAAATTCAATCACCTAAAATGTTAAAATATCTTGTTTAAAATTGTTGATGATTGAAAAGAATTGCAAAGCGTTTGAAAAATATCAAATTCCAGAGTAAAATAAAACCACATACAAAACATGTGAATCTGTAAGCTCTTGGGGTTACAGTAAGAGTGGTATCAAAGTTGATGACACTCTGGTAATATGTGGTTCCATTGTTGAGGGTAGCGATACAACCCACATGTCCACCTGCTGTAAAGTAATTACCGTATAAGCAGAAATTTTAGCGAGGATTTAATTTTGGCTTTATTAGCGAGGGTAGTGGGATCGCTTAAATTGAATATCGCTAAAAATTGATTGCGTTTTATTTTTTATAGCTTCTTTAGTGAAAATTCGTAAATCGCTAAAATTTCATCTCGCTAAAATTAAAATACCACTTTTTAAGGATAAATCGCTAAATTTGCGTCTCGCTAAGATTTCCACTTATACGGTATATAAAACACTTTAGTTTCTTAACTGTTCATTAAATTTTTCAAATCTTTTATCAGAAGGATGACTGCAATCAGTGTGAAACAACATGGGACCCTGGTGTTTATCTTTGGCTGAGTATGCAGAAGGAATCACCTGGTGCCATTTAATGCATGAATCTTTGAACAGGAGTTTTTACATAGGTTTATAAGCTTTGATCAATCAACCAAATTGATTCATTTAAGCGAATTGCAGCCAAAATAAAAACGTGAGTTAAATCTAGTACATGTATTATACAATATACATATTGTGGACTCCAGTCAAATATATAAAAGGCTGTGTATTGTTTCCGGGAGAAGATAGAAGGTAATATAATCAAATCCCGATAGTAATAGTTGTAAAATCTGATCCCAATAGTAAACTTTATAACGAAAAAAATATAGAAACATCCTTCTGATTTATCTTCATGTATTTATGAAGTTTAAAGATTGCATTTGTATAATACATGTATAATTATATCTTTTTATAGAGCCGAGCACAACATTGAATCAAAACTGTTGAGAAAGGCTGACAAACGTCATCAATAATACTAAGGATACTTTTTGGTCGACAATCTCTACGAAAATGAAAGATTAAAAAGATTTGGCATTGTCCATAAAACTAAAGCCATTAAATTGTGATTAGTGTATCTTAACTACGTGAACATAGCAAAAGATACCAGAGAAAGCCACTCGGGTGTTGCATTCACTGTAATCAAAGACCATGTTAGTTCTGTTGTTGTTACAGACGTCTAGGAGGGAGTCGCCCCAGTTCAGGCCACAGGTAGCCGACGAGGAGGTGTGAATATAAGTAAACACCCCCAGGAATGGCTTAGCACAGAACGACAGAGCCTCAGATTCAGATCCTACAGAAAATATAGTAGTAAAAATGTAGGAAAAGGTACTATTCAATATGATTGTATACAAAATAAACGTGTATTTCTTTTATAATCTCATTAGTTAGATTTTACCTTCCTTGACAAAGACATGGAAAAGCTCGGTAGCCTGCCCAGTTTGACAGACATCAGTATACACCGTATACAGTCCTGTCCCGAAATTGTTTGCTGAAATGTGGAGAATCTTAATATAATTGAAGTGTAAAATAAGGACAAATTTCATGAAACATTATAGCTTTTTAAAATACAAGAGGCCCAGGGGTCATATCGCTCACATGAGTACTGTGGTGAGGAAAAAAAGCACAAATCAGTTTAGTATTAAAAAGCTTTAATACAAGATTGGTCCAAACCTACCCCTAAAAGGCAGAAAGGGTTAGGGGGAGTAGGCAATATGAACAAAATTGAATCTACAAAGCTTCCAAATAAATATGACAAACCTTGGCTTTGCTGTTCTAGAGAAGGATTTCTTTCTCTATATTCCTTTTACTTTTTTCTATACTACTATATGTAAAAATGTTATCATCCATTTTGTCTCCACCCTACCCCCAGGGGTCATAATTTTGAATAAACTAGAATCTACACTACTTGTGGATACTTTCACGTAAGTATGAACAATCATGGCTTTGGTGTTCTTGAGAAGAGTATTTTTGAAAATTGTTCACATATACTCCCATGCTAAACTTTCATCGTCCATTGTGGCTCCAACCAACCCCGGGGTCATAATTTGAACCATCTTGAATCCACACCACCTGAGGATACTTCAATATAAATATGACCAGCCATGGCTTTGATGTTCTCAAGAAGATTTTAAAAGACGTTTCCTATATACCCCTATGTTATACTGTGGTCGTCAATTGTGGCCTTACCCCAACCCAAGGGGGTCGTGTTTTGAACAAACTTGAATTTACAACACCTGAGGATACTTCCATATAAATTTCACCAATCATTGCTTTGCTGTTCTTGAGAAGAAGATTTTAGAAGGGGCCTTGAGCCTTGAGAAGGGCCTCATAATTAAGTTTTTAGAACTTGTGCCCAATCCCTTTGTAATTATAAATTACAATAAAATATGTTCAAACCAAGACGATTTTTCCTATATATATACCTATGTAAAACTTTGATCAGTCATTGTGGCCCCGCATTACCCTAGGGGTTATGATTTGATCAAACTTGAATCTGCACTACCCGAGGGTGCTTCTACACGAGTTTCATCGTTCCTGGCCCAGTGGTTCTTGAGAAGAAGATTTTTTAAAAAAGTTTCCATTATTTCTTTTCACTAATAGCTTATTATCTCCCCTTGAGAGCAGGGGTGGCCTTTTTCACTCAAGAATCCTTTGTTGCAAGTTTGTTTGAAATTGGCCCAGTGGTTCTTGAAAAAGAAAGTCGAAAATGTGAAAAGTTTACGCCGACAACAACGACGACAAAAGACAGAGGACAAATTAAAATCCTTAAAGGCAATTAGCCGGAGATCATATAGGAATAAATCGGTAAAGAAACATGTTTTTATAATCTTTGCATGTTTTCTTTAGATCTTAGTTAGAAAAAATGATTTATGTAGACCCTCCAAAAAAAATAAAACAAGAGGCCCAGAGGCCACATCGCTCACCTATGTAACTACCTAGGTAAAAGCAAAAATCGGTTTATTATTGAAAAGTTTAAATATACTAGTAAAGTGGGTTCAGGGGGGGGGGGGGATATTTGAACAAACTTAAATCTTCGATTCGATACGTACGAGCATGCTCTACGTATGAACAATTTCTAAAACGAGGTAAATTATTCACAAGCAAGTTGACGAAACAAGAATATCAGCAGTCTCGTTTAAAGTCATCATTTCGTAAGTTCTACGTTCGATACAATGACCTTATTAGCAAATACAGTTTATCATTGAGTCAAATGATGACTGACATTTTTCATACCAATTGTTAGTCCATTATTTATACACTGAATTGACGACGGATTTTTTCCGTTATTTCCTGATCATGACAAGGAGCACACGGGTGTGACCGGTCGGCAGGGGATGCTTACTCCTTTATGGCACCTGATCTCACCTCTGATGTTTCGGGGGTCCGTGTTTGCTCTGCTCTTATTTTGTATTGTTTTATGGACTTTGAGATTGAATACTGTTCGTTATATCCATATCCTTCATTTGTCAAAAAAAAAAAATGGAATCTGAACCCATTCTACATGAAAATCGAAAATTTCTGAAAAAATGTACGCTTCAACAAATCCATTCATTTAAATCACACTGACCGACGTCGATAATCCATATACTTCGTAGCGTAGTGGTTAAAGCGGTGGGTCTTTAAAAGATAAAAAAAAAAAGCGGTGGGTCTTGAACCAAATCCTGCGCTAGGGAGAGAGTTCGAATCATACGTGAAGCTTTTTCTTTTTTTGTTCTCACATATCTTAAATACATGAGTAAAAAATAAATTATTTATAAAATATTAGACCAATGAAAAAAAGAATTAAATGGGTAAAAGGTGATATAAAGCAATCTAATTTTGAAAAATATAACTTTTAAAATTGAGAAATGTCTTTTCTTAGAGCAGGGGATTGTCCTCGCCTTGTACGCCTCTATTCTTTAAATCTAAATGACCTTTTTCAATGCTCTTATATCGATGATCAATAATGGCTTGTTGTTCGTGATTTTTCCTAAGTATTCCTACGTAACCCAATCTTCACCCATTGTGGCCCCACTCAACTCCCGCGGGTCATGATTTAAACAAACATGAATTTACACTACAGGTACCCGAGGATGCTCCCATATAAATAAATATATGAATAATGAGAGCTTTGTTGTTCTCTTCGAGAAGAGTTTAAAAGAATTTTTTTATGTAATCCTTTTTAAAACTTTGATCATCCATTATGACCCAACCTTGCCCCAGTAGTCGTGATTTGAACTACACTTGAATCTACACTACAAGATGATGCTTCAATTTAACTATGACCAATCATTTCTTTGTTGTTCTTGAGAAGAATTTTTTTTCAAAGATTTTCCTATGTAATCCTAAGTTAAACTTTGATCCCCAATTGTGGCCATATCCTACCCCTGGGGTCATGATTTGTACAAACTTGAATCTTTGCTACCTGAGGATGCTTTAATATAACTTTGACCAATCATGCCTTTGCTGTTCTTGAGAAGAATATTTTTAAAGATTTTTCCTTTTGTATTCCTTTGTTAAACTTTGATACCCCACATGACGGGGTCATGATTAAAAAAAAAAATTAAATCTACTCTACCTGAGGATGCTTCCACATGGGTTTCATCTTTCCTGGCCCAGTGGTTCTTGAGATGAAGATTTTTAAAATATGACCCTACTTTTTCATAATTATCTCCCCTTGAAAGAGGGTATGGCCCTTCCTTTGTATTAATCTGAATCCCCTTCATGCTAGGATACTTTGTTTTAAAGTTTGGTTGAAATTGGTCCAGTGGTTCTTGAGAAAAAGATGAAAATGTGAAAAGTTTACAACAACGACATCGACGACAGACAACAGACAAATTTTTATCAGAAAAGCTCACTTGAGCCTTCGACTAAGGTGAGCTAAAAAGTAAAAAACATACCTCTTGAATTATAGTAGTAGTAAGAATATGTAGTTATCGACGTCAGCTCCAAACAGAGATACCAGTAGTAATTAGTGCCACCTGAATGACTCGTGTAAGTATTGGCAGTCCTTGAATTTTCAAAATAAGTGTCAGGTTATTTCACAGATTATTTTAGCTAATCACTAGTACTGTAAATCTGATACTAGTTATATGCGGCGTTGTACAGTTTCTGATAAAAGTAATTTTTTTTAATGTCGACATAATTACAGCTCAACGAACTTTTTAAACTCACATGGTTTTTCGCACAAATTAAGGTCACATTGTTATAATGCAAAATTGTATAACATGACAACAATATATATTTTAAAAGTGATTTATAACTTCATTTTTATGTTATTCCATTACTTTAAACATAATTAGCACATAATTATTGGTAGAATTTTTGTATGCTCTTGGGTGATGGAGTATGAAAGTTTCAAAATGATTTTTTCATGGTTTCTCGTCAAATGCAGTCGTCTTTGTATGTGTTCATTTTAAAACATACATTTTCCTTGCCTAGATACAGAAACGGTGCAGTTCATGTAACTTCTGTATTTTTTGTACATTAAACTGACACTAAGGCGCAAGATAATAGAAGTAATTTTCATCTGTTCCACTGCTTTCCGCGTTAAAAAGATGGTATATTTTCTTATTAATTTTCTGAAATCTGGCATTATGAAAGATACCTTCCAACGAAAAATTTCAAAGTTTCAGACCATAGACAGTAACCATCAACAGTAACAATTAATTATGTTGAAAGGTAAACAATACTTTATTATCCAATCCTTTGACGTGTTTTCTATATGCAGTTTTGTCATTTTCAATTTCAATTCAATTCTTTTATTCCTTGTATCAACAGATACATCAGATTAACATATTAATTACATACAATATACATAATTGCCATGTAAACATATACATGTATCACAATGTATTAACACTAACATTGATAAATGTACATATATATACAATTATACATACATATTATTGTGTTACATGTATCATAATATTAAATCAAAATTATACTTATTATTACTGTAACAATAAATTTATTTTACTTTCTCGTAAATGACACGCTTCTCTTAAAAAAATCCCCAAATCTCTTAATTCCCTTACATTTTGAACACTTAAAGTAATTGTATTAATTTATATACACTACTATTTTGATAATAATATTTTTTAATATATTTCTTCCTTAAATTTTCATATGTTGGACATTGTAAAATTAAGTGAAATTCATCTTCTGTTTCATTTAAACTACGCAATATGCATTTTCTGTCATTTCTATTAGTATTCGTGTATCTACCCCTTTCAATAAATAAGTTGTGATCAGACATCCTAAACTTTGATATTATTTCTTGATTTTTAACACTTAAAGGTTTGTTAAGGTAAATTTTTCAGCGCTGCAGTTCGACAAAACCAAGACAAGTATGGAAAATGTGCAGAGTAATTAGTAAAATACTTATAAATAAGAAGTCAATTTGAACATCCTAACTAAATAGTATCAAGGAAATCTCGATTAATTGTTTTGTTAATATCTATGTTAGAATCATACACATGTAACATCATACATGTGTACAAAAGAATTCCCTTTAAAGAAATCGAATTTTAAAACTTAAGATAACTATTTTAGCGAATATGCACCTTTCTCTTGAAATATTTAATAATATAAGGGTTATGTCATGTCCTGAACCTCGATAATTTTAAGTTTTATTGCAAGAAAAATGAGACCTCAATTTGTGCGAAAAACCGTGTGAGTTTAAAAAGTTCGTTGAGCTGTATGTATAGACACCTGTTTGTCAAAAAAAAAAATCACAAATACTGACCCTACGAATACCACCTCTGAATTTTTTCTTATCTTTTTTATTAAACAGGAATACTGTGGTAATTAACAGATTAAGATCTTCAATCCTTTTCAAATGGTATGGTAGGTTGAGTTAAAAAGGAAAATAAAACATGTGCAAAAACTTAATATTACTATTTAATTTTTTGAAAAAAAGAAGTAAAGTTATCAGGTTTGTTACTGATTACCCAAAGAAATCTATTACCTTTATCAATATAATACACGAAGTTCTAAGCGGTTATACTATCTTACCTTAAAACGTAGTAACTTCCTGAAGTAAAATCACAGGTAAAATTTGAAGGTGTGGCTGAGAAGGTGTCCACTGTAATATCATACTGTGACAAGTACATGATGGTGTCCGTAAACTCTGCGTCTCCGAAGTTACTGCTGATCCAAGTACCTCGTAAAGCATCCGGAAATGTACATGCGCCATCTTTTAATTATAATAATTGTGAACATACGATATAAGTGTGAAAAAAATAAAATGTCCAAAATTGCCATTTAAACTCGAGACAAAATTTCATAAATTGATGACATATTATACTGATAAAATCTTCAGTGTAAAGAAAGGTTCGATCACTAAGAAAATCTTCAATAAAAATATATAAATCATTTTACCTTTTTCATAATCTTTGTATGCTTACCTGCAGTGCGTTGAAATAATGTGAAAATAATTTTCAATGTTATCCAAAATATGAATTTTAACATTTTATCCTAAGAAAAACATTTGAATTCGTTAAACTTGATAATGATTTTGTTTCGAAACACATTAGTTCATTCTTGTAATTTAAAAGTTAAAATGTGTTAAGAAAGTGGAAGACTAGATTTGTATTTAACTAAACCACGATTTTCACCCTTCAGTTATTCTTTTATTTTGTTCAAACCTTTCATTAGCATTGGGGAGGTTTTGTACTTCAGGCATGCTTTATAAAGTACGAGGGTTGTCCAAAAAGTTCGAGGACAATGACGTTTTTGTTAATATAAAGGTTCTATATGCATCTATTGTATATCAAAAAAAAAAAAATTATGAAAAACCAAGTCAGAGTGATTTAATTTTTATTGATGAAACTTAATATTTTTGTAAAAATCGGGGTCTTTAAAGATTGCAGATAGTGCGCACGGACCAAGGATAAAATGACATAAACTCTGATATCAAGTGTTCGGATTAAACTAATTATGTGCTGTTAGAATATAATCATCAGTGTCAAATTACAAACAGAATTTAAAGACCCCGATTACAAATTTTAAATGTACTATATTTCCCCTAGTCCGAAAAATCTGACGTTTTTTTTGGCTTTTTTACGAGTTTGATATTTTACATGCCAGGAAAACGTCATAACCGGCGCCATTACGAAAACCGGGAATTTCACCGTCTCCACCAGAAGTTGATTTTCTATACTTGGGAACCGAATTAGATGCAGAAATCACAATTTATCGATGGCACAATGCTCATAAAACTCACCAATATCGATGAATAGAAATTACCACTCCACATTCCGATTCAGAACTTGCACGATTTTTAAAATGCACGAAATGAAAACAAATCTCAACAGTCAGATAAAATGTGTTCCTCAGATTATATTATTTCATACATGAAACATAAAAACGATGTTGGTGAGTACTAAAGATGTTGTACTATTGATAATATGTGAATTCAGCATTTAATTCGGTTTACAAGTATCGAAAATCAACATCTGAATGCCGCCTCCAGTTGGAGGCGGCGATTTCTCAGTTTTCGTAATGGCGCCGGTTCTGACGTTTTCCTGGCATGTTAAATATCAAAATTGTAAAAAAGCCAGAAAAACGTCAGATTTTTCGGACTATATTTCCCCATCAATGTATTGGCGCGGTTCCAATAAAACCACGTGCAGGCCGGAACAAATAGCTAAACAGAAGCAGGGCTTGGAGCACGTGGATTGGCGGAATCAAAGCATGTAAATATAAGGAATAACTGTCAGATTTTTCAATTTCATGATAATGATCAATCGATTGGCTAGCGTGATAATTTAATTAGGCGTTTATGCAAATTATCACGCAACCCAATCGATTGATCATATCATGAAATCGAAAAATAAGACAGTTATTCCTAAATTTGTAATTTTATCTCGGACAAAGACATTGGATATATAAATATTTGCATATAATTCTCAAACAAATTCATAAAGTTAACATTATTTTATTAGTATGAATCATAAGTCATAAGCAGTTGGAGGGAGATATATAAATCGCTTAAATGTGAACGAATAAAGTTAAACCCAAATGTTCATATAATATATTATCTCCACTCAATCTTCTAATAAAAAGGGAGGGAGGGGAATGATCAGTCATTACTTTATCTAAAATTTCATATTTTTAAAAATACCATTTACATAAATGTCAGAGAACGCAATGAAAAGATTTCTATTAAAAAGACAGAAGAAAAAAGAAGGAAAAGAAGGATGATTGATTGATTTTATGTTGTTTAACGTCCCTCTCGAGAATTTTTCACTCATATGGAGACGCCACCGCTTGCCGGTGGAGGGCTACAACTTTTGTCCTATGCTCGGCACTCAGGGCCTTTGAGCAGTGAGGGATCTTTTTCGTGCCAGCACCTACTGCGACACGGGGCCTCGGTTTAAACGGTCTCATCCGAAGGACCGGTCTCCACGTCCCACAGTGGGATTCGAACCCGCGACGTAAGGATTGACTCCTTACTTCGCGACTCTAGAGCAGACGCTCTAACCACTGCACCACGCGGGCGACAGGAAAAGAAGGAAAAATACGTACATGTATATATTCACGTTCGATTTTGTCAAAATTTTACACAATTCATGATGTCTAATCTAACCTCCATTAAACAGTTCTAATAGATGTAATAAGAATATAAAGTCCGCCGAGAACCTGTTTTATACGTTATAACTTTCATGTCGCTAAAAATAGCGACATGCAATGCAAAACTACCAATAATACAAACGGAGCGGGACACTTTGAGAGGAGTGAGAGAGGTCCTAGGGACTTTTGGTATAAAATTACATAATTGCAAAAGCTCAAAATCCCCTTGAAATATCGCCCGAAAACGATAGTGTTACACACAAACAGAATGTATATATTTATGACCTTGAACTTTGACCTTTTGACCTCAAAATCAATAGGGGTCTTCCTTAGGCCACTGGGAGTTGTTATGTAAAATTACATTGCAAAAGCTCAAAGGGTTCTCGAGATATCGCGCGGAAACGAAAGTGTTATAACAGACAGAATTTGCGAATGTATGACCTTTGACCTTTTGACCTCAAAATCAATAGGCTTCTTCTTTAGTCCGTATTGAGTTGCTATGCAAAATGTTATTGCAAAAGCTCAAAGGTTCTCGAGATATCGCGTGGAAACGAAAGCGTTACAGACAGACAGACAGAATGACGGACGGACAGACCCAAATTAATATCCCCCACTTTTCAATAGGGGACAAAAAGATAGAATGTAAGAAGGATATGGAGATAACGAAAAAAACTTAATTAAAAGGAAAAAATAATAAGGGAAAGGAAGAAGAAAAACAGAATGTAAACAACACATCCTTAATAAAGAAAAAAACTAACTAAATGATGAAAGGAAAAAAAAGGTCTAAATTAACAAGCTAATTCAGAGAATTTGTGTCCCCCACTTAGGGAAAAAGTAAACCATGCGCAGTTCGGGGGAGGGGGGGGGGGGGGGTCGGATCCCCTTGACTGAATTTGTAGAATTATTAAATGTATACTGAAGCAAATAAAATATGCCAATATGGATAATCTATAAAGATTTGATTGCTTAAATTCTTTATTATGTGTATAGAAGATTCTTTTTTTATGGAATATTTATCACACTGTAAAGGTACTTGGACACAGATTTGAAGTTAATATTTTCTGTATATCACGAATTATATATTTTAATAGTATTTCACACAAAAATAAATTAAAAATCTTATTTCTTTTCAAAGTTATTAAAACTTTAAATTTTTTGGCGGGTTTGATTGACCCATCCTTGCATCTTTCACAAATTTTACCTTATTCTTAATCCTTAGGAAAAGTGGCAATCTTGTTGTGTATTAATGAGAAATATTAAAACTTAAATCCAAGAAAATATTTTTTTTCAGAGTAGAAATGTTAGAAAGCAAAATTCCTTCACAAGTATCGTCATTCCGTTGTGTACAGAGTTTAGCAAATCGAGCACACTCATGTTATGTACACAGTTTATGTAAACAGGGCGAAATCTCTGTTATTGTTTGGTGTTTTGGTTCACCGGGTGCGTTCAACCGTTAAAGTCTGCTCACCACAACTGCACGGACTGACAATATACGAGGGCTATTCATTAAATAGTGACACTACACGTACTCCTTTTAAATTTTACATTTAATAGAAATGGAACCTCTTTTAAAATGTTTATTGTCTTCCATACTTCTGATTTCAAACGTAGTCACAACCTATTTATAAAGCGGTTTTCGAAGAAAGCGTCTTTTTCGAACCCACCCTGTGGATACTGTAAACATGAAGAGAGAAGGAAAGTCCCGAAAAGACATTTTGAACATCAGGTCGTATATCAAATATCGTTTTCTAATGAATATCAAGGGAAAAGAAATTTTCAAAGAACTCGTGTCATTATATGGAAACTCTGTTGTGTCTATCAAAACCGTTTATCGATGGATAAAGCATTTCAAACTTGGTAGGGATTCAGTTGAAAATATATAACAGTCGGGAAGGCCAAGATCAATTATCAATGAGAAATCAGTTGCAGCAGTGAAAAATATCATCGACAGAGACGACAGAGTTACTGTGAACCAGAATGCCAAGAAACTGAACATTTCATCGGGTAGCATTTTTAAAATTTTAAAACTACATTTAGGAGTCAGGAAAGTATCTGCAAGGTGGATTCCACACATTTTAAATGACGAGCAAAAAAGAAAGCGATTACAAATTTCTCGAAAACCTTTGAAAATTTATTGGAAATGTGATAAAAGACGTCTAAATGTACATGAAATTGTTACGGGGGATGAAATTTGGCTACATTTTTATGAACCCGAGAGAAAGCTGTGAAACAAAATATGGCTCCTTAAACAAAGTAAACGACCTACCATTGCTATACGCGGCAAAACAACAAGGAAGGTTTTGTATGCAATCTTTTTCGATTCTAACGGGATTGTCGCTCAGATTCCAATTAAAAATGGCAGAAGTGTAACTTAAGTTGTTTACGTGAAAAAGATACTGTCTGAGGTACAAAAACACTACAAAAACAGAAGGCCACAGTCGGGAATGAGAGGGATCAAGCTTTTACATGATAATGCCCCAGCACACACTGCAAAGAACTCGCAAGATTTCTTGTTGGAAAATGGAATACAGCAACTGGATCACCCCCTTATTCACCAGATTTATCCCCATGTGACTTTTTCCCTTAATTGAAAAAGATGCTATCTGGAAGGCGTTTTCATTCTCGTTCTGCATTGGTTTCAGCTGTGTATCAGTGTTTAAAGAGTATACCTCTTTCGGAGTATAGAGGGGCGTTCCAAAGCTGGATAAAACGACTTCAAGGATGTGTTGAAGTAAAGGGTGATTATTTTGAAGGGATGTAAATAAAATAGAAAAGAATCATATGTTATTGTTTACATTATTGAAGAAGTCTTACTATTTAATGAATAACCCTCGTATTGTGTGTTTGATTTGCTTTCGAACATGTCTACTCTGAATTTTCGGGATTATAGTATTAATATTTTTCATTAATACACATCAGGATTGC